GGCGCTCGGAGGGCAGGAAGCAGGGGCACAGAGGGGAGGGGGCAGCCAGACTTGGCCCACTGCTAAGGCAGTGAGTGCGGGCCCTGTGGGTGGGCAAGGGCAGGGCCCAAGCGTGTGTGCTGAGGCTCTGGGCCACCTCCCCACGGGCCGCAGGAGGCCGCGGTGAGGGTAGGGGTGTGTGAGTGGGAGAGTGTGTGTGTGTGTGTGTGTGTGTGAGTGTGCATGTGTGTCCTGCCCATCTGGGCCCCGCCTGCCCTCTTAGCGGCGAGGAAGTGAGGCCTCCAGCCCATCATGGGGGCTGGCGGGGGGCTTCGGGGTTCGCAGTCCGCTCTGCGCCCTCGGAGCTGCCCAGGAGGCTGCAGGCCCAGCGGCCGGTCTGGCGGAGGCCCAGGCGGGGGCGGGGACGGAGGCGGGACGTGCGGGGCAGGCAGCGACTGGCCTTGCTGAGGGGCGGGACTGGGGGCCGCTGGCCGGGCGGAAGGAAGGAGCCGCGGGGCGGGCCGGGCGCTGCTCTGGGGGGGCGGGCCCAGCTCCCCGCGGGCGGGGCGGGGCGCCCGGGGTTGGGGGACTCTGTGCGCCTGTGGCTGCTGCGCTGGCTGATAGCTTGGCTGGTGGGCGGGTCCGGGCCGCTCCCTGCCCCTCCGCCAGGTCCGCGGGCAGGCACCCGTCCACCCTCCTCCTGCAGCTGCGGGGGCTCCTCCGGCCCCTGAGGCTCAGGGTAAGTGGTGGCCACCCCGCACCCCGCACCCCGGGGTCCTGCACCCTCACCCCTGCCAGCGGGTGCCCTCCTGGGGGCGGGACGGGCTGTGGGGGCCCCGGAGCAGGCTAACGGGGGAGCAGCTGCTGCCGGGAGCGGAGGACTGGGCCAGGTGGACAGCTGGACTGGGCCAGGTGGACAGCCGGTCTGGGCCAGGTGGACAGCCGGACTGGGCCAGGTGGACAGCCCTGACTGGGCCAGGTGGACAGCGGGACTGGGCCAGGTGGACAGCCGGACTGGGCCAGGTGGACAGCCCGGACTGGGCCAGGTGGACAGCCCGGACTGGGCCAGGTGGACAGCGGGACTGGGCCAGGTGGACAGCCGGACTGGGCCAGGTGGACAGCCGGACTGGGCCAGGTGGACAGCAGACAGCCCGGACTGGGCCAGGTGGACAGCCCGGACTGGGCCAGGTGGATAGCGGGACTGGGCCAGGTGGACAGCCGGACTGGGCCAGGTGGACAGCCGGACTGGGCCAGGTGGACAGCCCTGACTGGGCCAGGTGGACAGCAGGACTGGGCCTGGTGGACATCCGGACTGGGCCAGGTGGACAGCCGGACTGGGTTAGGTGGACAGCCCGGACGGGGCCAGGTGGACAGCGGGACTGGGCCAGGTGGACAGCCGGACTGGGTCAGGTGGACAGCCCGGAGGGGCCTGGTGGACATCCGGACTGGGCCAGGTGGACATCCGGACTGGGTCAGGTGGAAAGCCCAGACGGGGCCAGGTGGACAGCCGGACTGGGCCAGGTGGACAGCTGGACTGGGCCAGGTGGACAGCGGGACTGGGCCAGGTGGACTGGGCCAGGTGGACAGCAGACAGCCCGGACTGGGCCAGGAGGACAGCCGGACTGGGCCAGGTGGACAGCCCGGACAGGGCCAGGTGGACAGCGGACAGCCCGGACTGGGCCAGGTGGACAGCAGACAGCCCGGACTGGGCCAGGTGGACAGCCCGGACTGGGCCAGGTGGACAGCAGACTGGGCCAGGTGGACAGCGGGACTGGGCCAGGTGGACAGCAGACAGCCCGGACTGGGCCAGCAGGACAGCCCGGACGGGGCCAGGTGGACAGCCGGACTGGGCCAGGTGGACAGTCCGGACGGGGCCAGGTGGACAGTCCGGACGGGGCCAGGTGGACAGCAGGACTGGGCCAGGTGGACAACCCGGACTGGGCCAGGTGGACAGCGGACTGGGCCAGGTGGACAGCAGACAGCCCGGACTGGGCCAGGAGGACAGCCGGACTGGGCCAGGTGGACAGCCCGGACAGGGCCAGGTGGACAGCGGACAGCCCGGACTGGGCCAGGTGGACAGCAGACAGCCCGGACTGGGCCAGGTGGACAGCCCGGACTGGGCCAGGTGGACAGCAGACTGGGCCAGGTGGACAGCGGGACTGGGCCAGGTGGACAGCAGACTGGGCCAGGTGGACAGCCCGGACTGGGCCAGCAGGACAGCCCGGACGGGGCCAGGTGGACAGCCGGACTGGGCCAGGTGGACAGTCCGGACGGGGCCAGGTGGACAGTCCGGACGGGGCCAGGTGGACAGCAGGACTGGGCCAGGTGGACAACCCGGACTGGGCCAGGTGGATAGCGGACTGGGCCAGGTGGACAGCCCAGACGGAGCCAGGTGGACAGCGGGACTGGGCCAGGTGGACAGCCCGGACGGAGCCAGGTGGACAGTCCGGACGGGGCCAGGTGGACAGCCCGGACGGAGCCAGGTGGACAGCGGACTGGGCCAGGTGGACAGTCCGGACGGGGCCAGGTGGACAGTCCGGACAGGGCCAGGTGGACAGCCCGGACGGAGCCAGGTGGACAGCGGGACTGGGCCAGGTGGACAGCCGGACTGGGCCAGGTGGACTGGACCAGGTGGACAGCAGACAGCCCGTTCTGGGCCAGGAGGACAGCCGGACTGGGCCAGGTGGACAGCCGAACTAGGCCAGGTGGACAGCCCGGACGGGGCCAGGTGGACAGCCCGGACGGGGCCAGGTGGACAGTCCGGACGGGGCCGTGTGGACAGCCGGACTGGGCCAGGAGGACAGCTGGACTGGCCGGGGGCGGACGGGCACGAGGCTGCCTCCCAGGGAGCGGAGGCCGGTCAGAGGCCGCGGGTGCAGGTGCGAGGCGGGTGCGGGGCGGGCGGTGGGGCGGGCGGGGCCGGTCCCCGGGGAAAGTTCCTGGCACCACGTGAGGCGCTGTCCACAGCGGGTACCCCTGGGCTCCTGGGAGGTAAGTGCAGACACAGCCCAGGGGTGCGCCCCGCGCCCGGGCACCTGCGGGAGCAGGCAGGTGGGGTCAGGCCTGGGGTCCGGGGGCAGGCGCTGCCCCAACCTCTAGCCCCCCAGAGCCTCTCAGACCACAGCTCCCTGGTGCCCCCGGCCCCTCTGGGAGAGGGTCACGGGGCTGGGCCCTCACCCACCCCCAGCACGGCCCCAGCCTCCCTCCCCACCAGCCTGTGCCGCCTGCAGACGGAGGTCAGGAGGGCACAGAGCCACCCAGCTCAGGCCCGGACCTGCTTCCCCCGGGCGGGCAGCGGCCCTGGGACCTTGGCTCAGCCCCCTGTGCCTCAGTGCCCCCCCCCCCCCCCCCGTAAACTGGGGGACACTGGCCTCAGAGCGTCTGCTGAGTGAGGCGGGTGCCACGGCGGGCACTCGGCACACCCTCGCCATGGACGGGGCCTTCCTCAGGCAGGCAGTTCGTTGGCGTCCGTCCTGACGATTCATGGTGGTTGGCACGGCTCACCCACCCCCATCACTCCACCCCTGGAGCGCTCCCTGCCCTCTGCTGGCCGGGCCTCCCCCCTGCGGGCAGGGCAGGCAGGGCCCACCCCGGGACTCCTCCCCGCACCTCTGTCCTTAGGAGAGGGGCTCCGGGCCCCGCCCTCCTAACCTGGAGATGTTTCGGCGAGAAGGCCGGGGAGGGCTTCCGAGGGGGACCCTAAGTGAGCCCTGAAGTCCCCGAGAGGACCCTGAGGAGGGGACGGGGAGGGGAGGAGGCAGGAGGGAGCCCTGAGCCCGGACACCCAGCGGCCTGGACCTCCCTGCCTCTCCCCGTCCCCCCTGCCTCTCCCCGTCCGCCCGCCTCTCCCCGTCCTCCCTGCCTCTCCCCGTCCCCCCACCTCTCCCCGTCCTCCCTGCCTCTCCCTGTCCTCCCTGCCTCTCCCCGTCCCCCCTGCCTCTCCCCGTCCTCCCTGCCTCTCCCCGTCCGCCCACCTCTCCCCGTCCGCCCGGTCCCAGAGGGCGCTGGGGCCGGCCGGGCAGAGAGGACCGTGTCTGGGGTTGAGAGGGGAGTCCCCCAGGGGTCGTGTGGGAGCCGGGCTGGAGGGGGAGTGTCCCTGCCTCAGGCTGCCCCACCGGCTCTGGGACCCCCACTCCCAAGCACACCGCCTCCCCATCCCACCTGCGTGGCTCCATCCTTCGTCACCCCAACCCGTTCTCATCACCCCTGGGTCACTGCGTCCCCTCTGGTGGCTCCCACCTCCCTCGTCTCCCCTGTCCCAGCACCACCCTGCAGCGCCAGGTCCGGGGTCTCCAGGCCCCACCCCCAGGGTCACCGGGCCCCACCCCCAGGGTCACCAGGCACCACCCCCGGGGTCTCCAGGCCCCACCCCTGGGGTCACCAGGCCCCACCCCCAGGGCCATCGGGCCCCACCCCGGGGTCACCAGGCCCCACCCCCGGGAAGTGCCTGGGGCTCTCCAGGCTGCTGGACAGCCTCGCCCCACCCCCATCCTTGCCCAGTGCCTGTCTGGGTCTGTGTTCTCCGGACCTTGGTCCTCAGGTCCCCTCCCGTCCTCCCTGCCCTCTCCTAGGGGTCACCCCACTTCCCAGGTCTCATTTGGCCGCTCCTCTCCCCCCCAACAGCCCTGCCCACTCTCCACTCCCTGGGCCTCCACTGTGGTGCCCTGGGCCCCACCAGGCCCTGACATGTGTGCCCCAGGCCCTGACATGTGTGCACCAGGCCCTGACATGTGTGCCCCAGGCCCTGACAGACATGTGCACCAGGCCCTCACATGTGTGCGCCAGGCCCTGACATGTGTGCACCAGGCCCTGACATGTGTGCACCAGGCCCTGACATGTGTGCGCCAGGCCTCAGCGGGCCCTCACTCGATGATGCAGGAGCACAGGGGCGTGGCAGGAGGGGGCCCGGGGCACAGCGTGGGGGGCACCGTGCCCGGCTCTCCTGTGGCCCCTCCGCGGCGCCCGTCCACACCTCCGCCTGCTCTCTCCCCAGCTCCCCGAGCGCTGACACCGGCGTCGCCATGGCCGCGCTGGGCAGAGCCCTGCGTGCGGCGGCCACCCGCCCTCGCCCGGGCCCCGCTCCGGGCCTGGGGCCCCGTCCCCTGAGCAGCGGGGCCGGCCCGGCCGCCGAGAAAAGCGTGCCGTACCAGCGGACCCTGAAGGAGGCCGGGGACCCCGAGGCGGCCCGGGGCCCCAGCCGGCCCCTGCCCGGCGAGGCCGACGTGGTGGTCATCGGCGGCGGCAGCCTGGGCTGCCAGACCCTGTACCACCTGGCCAAGCTGGGCGTGCGCGGCGTGCTGCTGGAGAGGGAGCGCCTCACCTCGGGGACCACCTGGCACACCGCAGGTGGGGCCGGGGCCGGGGCCGGGGGCGGGGGGCGCTGGGGGGCGCTGGGGGGCGCTGGGGGCGCTGGGGGGCGCTGGGGGGGGCTGAGGGTGCTGGGGGGGCTGAGGGTGCTGGGGGGGCTGAGGGTGCTGGGGGGGGCTGAGGGTGCTGGGGGGCGCTGGGAGGCGCTGGGGGTACTGGGGGGCGCTGGGGGGCGCTGGGGGTACTGGGGGGCGCTGGGGGGCGCTGGGGGGGGCTGAGGGTGCTGGGGGGGCTGAGGGTGCTGGGGGCGCTGGGGGATGCTGAGGGTGCTGGGGGGCGCTGGGGGGTGCCGGGGGGCGCTGGGGGGTGCCGGGGGGCATTGGGGGGCGCTGGGGGGCGCTGAGGGTGCTGGGGGGCGCTGGGGGGTGCCGGGGGGCACTGGGGGGGCGCTGAGGGTGCTGGGGGGCGCTGAGGGTGCTGGGGGGCGCTGGGGATGTGCTGGGGGGGCACTGAGGGTGCTGGGGGGCGCTGGGGGGCGCTGGGGATGTGCTGGGAGGGCTCTGGGGGTGCTAGAGGGGCGCTGGGGGGGCGCTGGGAGGGGTGGGGTGGGGGACAGACTCAGCGAGTGGCCAGGACCACAGGCAGAGGCAGCGGAGGGGAGCAGGGAGCCGGGCGGATTAGGGGTCCCCCCCCTGCTTGTCCCCGAGTCTGAAGCTGTGGTGGGAGGAGGGAGTCCCGGAGGTCAGAGGTCAAAGCTGAGCCATGAGCTGGGAGCCAGCTGTCTATTCAGAGAAGGAAGCCCTTCCCGCTCAGGCACCTGGTGAGGTGGACCGGGGAGGGAGGTGGACGGGGAGGGCCACCAGGTGGTCAGACGGGGTCCTCCGGGTCTCCAGCTGTGGCTGCGATTCTCTGCCAGCCAAGCAGTGCCCGTCCCAGGTGCCACCTTCTGCCCCAACCCGGGGCCGGCTCCCGGCTCCAAGCTCCCGGCCCCCGGCTCCCCGCTCCCAGCCGCTGGTCCCCAGCTCCCGGCTCCCGGCTCCCAGCTCCTGGCCCCCAGCTCCTGGCTCCCAGGGACAAACACTCCCAACTCCCCCAACATCGCCCGCATGAGTGAGCACTCCCCACGGAGCTGGGAAGTCTCAGGCGCCACATGGTGGGTGACGTGAGGCCTCCACTGCCCTCCGCCCCCCCACTGCCCTCCGCCCGCCCACTGCCCTCCGCCCCCCCCACTGCCCTCCGCCCCCCCACTGCCCTCCGCCCCCCCCACTGCCCTCCGCCCCCCCACTGCCCTCCGCCCCCCCCCACTGCCCTCCGCCCCCCCACTGCCCTCCGCCCGCCCACTGCCCTCCGCCCCCCCCACTGCCCTCCGCCCCCCCCCACTGCCCTCCGCCCGCCCACTGCCCTCCGCCCCCCCCACTGCCCTCCGCCCCCCCACTGCTCTCCGCCCCCCCACTGCCCTCCGCCCCCCCCACTGCCCTCCGCCCCCCCCCACTGCCCTCCGCCCGCCCCACTGCCCTCCGCCCCCCCACTGCCCTCCGCCCCCCCCACTGCCCTCAGCCCCCCCCACTGCCCTCCGCCCCCCCACTGCCCTCCGCCCCCCCCACTGCCCTCCGCGCCCCCACTGCCCTCCGCCCCCCACTGCCCTCCGCGCCCCCACTGCCCTCCGCCCCCCACTGCCCTCCGCCCCCCCCACTGCCCTCCGCGCCCCCACTGCCCCCCGCCCCCCCCACTGCCCTCCGCCCCCCCACTGCCCTCCGCCCCCCCACTGCCCTCCGCCCCCCCACTGCCCTCCGCCCCCCCCACTGCCCTCTGCCCCCCCACTGCCCTCGGCCCCCCACTGCCCTCGGTCCCCCCCACTGCCCTCAGCCCCCCCCACTGCCCTCCGCCCCCCCAATGCCCTCCGCCCCCCCCACTGCCCTCCGCCCCCCCACTGCCCTCCGCCCCCCCCACTGCCCTCAGCCCCCCCCACTGCCCTCCGCCCCCCCACTGCCCTCCGCCCCCCCACTGCCCTCCGCCCCCCCCCACTGCCCTCAGCCCCCCCCACTGCCCTCCGCCCCCCCACTGCCCTCCGCCCCCCCACTGCCCTCCGCCCCCCCCACTGCCCTCAGCCCCCCCCACTGCCCTCCGCGCCCCCACTGCCCTCCGCCCCCCCACTGCCCTCAGCCCCCCCCACTGCCCTCAGCCCCCCCCACTGCCCTCCGCCCCCCCACTGCCCTCCGCCCCCCCACTGCCCTCCGCGCCCCCACTGCCCTCCGCCCCCCCCACTGCCCTCCGCCCCCCCACTGCCCTCCGCGCCCCCACTGCCCTCCGCCCGCCAGGGCGGCCTCGGCCTCACCGTCTCGGCCTCACCGGCCTCCACTCCCAGACTCGCTGAGGGGCAGCTCTTCCCCCGGACGGCTCTGCCCAGGCCTCGGCACCCAGCACCCGGCACCTGGCACACGGCACACAGCACACGGCACATGGCACACGGCACACGGCACACAGCACATGGCACCCGGCACACAGCACCCGGCACACAGCACACGGCACACAGCACACAGCACATGGCACCTGGCACACAGCACCTGGCACCTGACACACAGCACACGGCACACAGCACATGGCACACGGCCCACAGCACCCGGCACACAGCACATGGCACACGGCACACAGCACACAGCACATGGCACATGGCACACAGCACACGGCACATGGCACACAGCACACGGCACATGGCACACGGCACACAGCACACGGCACATGGCACACAGCACACAGCACACGGCGCACACGGCACATGGCACACGGCACACAGCACACGGCACACAGCACCCAGCACCTGGCACCTGACACACAGCACACGGCACACAGCACATGGCACACGGCCCACAGCACACAGCACATGGCACACGGCCCACAGCACACGGCACATGGCACACGGCACACGGCACCCGGCACACGGCACATAGCACACAGCACATGGCACCCGGCACACGGCACACAGCACCCGGCACACGGCACCCGGCACATGGCACATAGCACACAGCACACGGCACCCGGCACACGGCACATAGCACACAGCACATAGCACACGGCACGGCAGGTGCTCTGTAGACGGAGCTTTGGGGTCACTCCGTGCTGCCCGAGGCCCAGAGGCCGTCCTGAGCAGCCGGACCTGTCATCCTCACCGGCCCGGGGCTGCCGGGGCTGCCGGGGCTGCCGGGGGCTGCCATAAGGGCCGGGGCGGGTCGGCCCCCACGCGGGACTGATGGCGCCCCCCGCAGGCCTGCTGTGGCAGCTGCGGCCCAGCGACGTGGAGGTGGAGCTGCTGGCCCACACGCGGCGCGTGGTGAGCCGCGACCTGGAGGCGGAGACGGGGCTGCACACGGGCTGGATCCAGAACGGCGGCCTGTTCATCGCGTCCAACCGGCAGCGCCTGGACGAGTACAAGAGGCTCATGTCGGTGCGTGCGCCCCGCAGGGTGGGGGGCTCATGGGGGTGCACCCCACGGGGGGGTGTGCGCCCCGCGGCGGGGGCTCATGGGGGTGCGCCCCGTGGGGGGGGGCTCATGGGGGTGCACCCCACGGGGGGGTGTGCGCCCCGCGGCGGGGGCTCATGGGGGGTGCGCCCCTCAGGGTCGGGGAGGGCTCATGGGGGGTGTGCCCTGCAGGGTGGGAGGGCTCATGGGGGGTGTGCCTTGCAGGATGGGGGCTCATATGGGGGTGTGCCCTGCAGGGTGGGGCTCATGGGGGGTGCGCCCTGCAGGGTGGGGGGCTCATGGGGGTGCACCCCACGGGGGTGTGTGCGCCCCGCGGCGGGGGCTCATGGGGGTGCGCCCCGCAGGGTTGGGGAGGGCTCATGGGGGTGCGCCCCGCAGGGTGGGAGGGCTCATGGGGGGTGCGCCTTGCAGGGTGGGAGGGCTCATGGGGGGTGTGCCCTGCAGGGTGGGGGGTTTGTGGGGGGTGTGCCCTGCAGGGTGGGGGCCTCTTGTAGGGCGTGTGCCCTGCAGGGAGGGAGCCCCAGCAGATCTGGGCCGGGCCGCCGGGAGGAGCCTGCCCGGAGCCTCAGTGCCCGCACCTGTGAGACGGGACGGCGGAGGCAGCAGACGCCAGGCTTCGGGGTCCGTATCGTCCGGGCGGCGCCCGGGCCTGGGCGTGGCGGCGGCCACGGCTCCGGAGGCGGTCAGGGCTGCCCTCGGGGCCGGCGGAGGACAGCGGCCGGAGGGCTCGCTCCCCGCGCTCAGTCCCTGCCCCGCCCCCAGCTGGGCAAGGCCTACGGCGTGGAGTCCCACGTGCTGAGCCCCGCGGAGACCAAGGCGCTGTACCCGCTGATGAACGTGGACGACCTGTACGGGACCCTGTACGTGCCGCACGACGGCACCATGGACCCCGCCGGCACCTGCTCCACCCTCGCCAGGGCCGCCGCCGCCCGGGGAGCGCAGGTTCGTGGCTGCGGCCCGGCACCGCCCCCAGCCGCCCTCCGCCCAGGCAGCAGTGCCCGCCGGCCCGGCGCCGCCCCCAGCCCGCCCTCTGCCCAGGCAGCAGTGCCCGCCGGCCCGGCGCCGCCCCCAGCCCGCCCTCCGCCCAGGCAGCAGTGCCCGCCGGCCCGGCGCCGCCCCCAGCCCGCCCTCTGCCCAGGCAGCAGTGCCCGCCGGCCCGGCGCCGCCCCCAGCCGCCCTCTGCCCAGGCAGCAGTGCCCGCCGGCCCGGGGTCCCCTCCCCGCCGGCCTGGGCGCCGCCCCCAGCCGCCCTCCGCCCAGGCAGCAGTGCCCGCCGGCCCGGGGTCCCCTCCCGGCCGGCCTGGGCGCCGCCCCCAGCCGCCCTCCGCCCAGGCAGCAGTGCCTGCCGGCCCGGGGTCCCCTCCCGGCCGGCCTGGGCGCCGCCCCCAGCCGCCCTCCGCCCAGGCAGCAGTGCCCGCCGGCCCGGCGCCGCCCCCAGCCCGCCCTCTGCCCAGGCAGCAGTGCCCGCCGGCCCGGGGTCCCCTCCCCGCCGGCCCGGCGCCGCCCCCAGCCGCCCTCCGCCCAGGCAGCAGTGCCCGCCGGCCCGGCGCCGCCCCCAGCCGCCCTCTGCCCAGGCAGCAGTGCCCGCCGGCCCGGGGTCCCCGCCCCGCCGGCATTCCCCAGGTTGTGCCCGCTGGGCCAGGGCCTCCCCGCCGCCCGCGTGACCCTCCGGCTGAGGGAGAGCAAACACCTTCCAGTCGGTGACGCGCCCGTTAGTCGCTTGTGAGAAAGCCGGTGAGGGGGCGGGTCCCCGAGCGAGGGCAGCCTGGCCTCGGAAGCGGGTCCCGTCCCACGGGGTGGGGTGCAGAGCCCGGTGGCAGCCCCTCGCCCGCAGGTCATCGAGAACTGCCCCGTGACGGGCATCCGCGTGCGGACGGACGACTTCGGCGTGCGGCGGGTGGCGGCCGTGGAGACGGAGCGCGGCGCCGTGCAGACGCCCTGCGTGGTCAACTGCGCAGGTGGGCCGGGCCCCGGCCCGAGCGGCGCCGGCCGCCCTCGGACCCGGCCTTTCTCCCGCCTGGGGCCCGGGGTCGGGCGGACGGTGCCAGCAGGGCTGACCGCCCCTCTGCCCGCAGGCGTGTGGGCGGGCGCGGTGGGCCGGATGGCGGGCGTCAAGGTGCCGCTGGTGGCCATGCACCATGCCTACGTGGTGACCGAGCGCGTCGAGGGCATCCAGGTGGGTGCCGCCGGCCGAGGCCCGGGCTGGCTGCGGGAGCGCCGAGGGCCGGTGGGGAAGCAGGGAGCGCGGGGGCCTGCAGGCCGCCCGGGCACGCCGGAGGGTCTGGGTGGGGGCAGCCAGGCCAGGCTGCCCATGGGCGGGGGCAGGCCCAGCACAGAGGGTCCCGGGAGCCTGGCCCCGCCCTGGGCCGCCGCTTCCCGCGGTCACTGGAAGGCCGGGCTGGCCGCTCGGCGGCGCAGAGGGGAGGGGTGGGGCGCGGGGGGGGCCTCCCTTGGCAGCGTTCCCCGGTTCATGGAGTTGCTGCGATTGAGGGCCCCCTCCTCAGGCTGTGCCCCCCGCCTGGGTGGGCGCTGGGGTCAGAGCCGTCACCCAGCGCCGCGGGCAGGAGGGAGGCCGGTTCTGTGGGAGAGCTCCGGGTGGCCACCAGGGGGCGCCCTCGGGCCGCAGTGGCTCCGGCCGCTGAGCTCAGGCCCAGGGCTGGCTGAGGACGGCAGGGGCTGTGTCCAGGGCAGGGGCGCCAGGATGGAGGGCGGCCCTCGTCCCCGGGGCCTGGTCCCCGCCCGTGCCTGACCTCCAGGGACCTCTCAGGAGAAGCCGGGGTCGGCCAGGGCCCCTCCGTGAAGTTCAAGGTCAGAGGCAGGCGGGGGTTATTCTTTAGTCACGACGCTGTCCCCAGGCCCGTGTGCCCCGGGGGTCCGGGCTGTGCCCGCACCAGCCCCAGAGCCTCTGAGCCTGTGCGGGAGGCGCGAGGAGCCGGCTGACCCCTGACCCCCGCCTTCTAGAACATGCCCAACGTCCGCGACCACGACGCCTCCATCTACCTCCGCCTCCAGGGGGACGCCCTGTCCGTGGGCGGCTACGAGGCCAACCCCATCTTCTGGGAGGAGGTGCGGCCGGGAGGGGATGGGGAGGGGGGAGGGGAGGGGATGGGGAGGGGGGAGGGGATAGGGAGGGGGAGGAGTGGAGGGGGTGGGGAGTGGGGAGGGGAGGGGGGAGGGGGGAGGGAGGGGGAGGAGTGGAGGGGATGGGGAGTGGGGAGTGGGGAGGGGAGGGGATAGGGAGGGGGAGGAGTGGAGGGGGTGGGGAGGGGGGAGGGGAGGGGGACTGCAGGGTGGGGCGGAAGCTGTAGCCCCGGGTGGCCTCACAGGGCGGGTCCCTGCCCCTCAGGTGTCGGACAAGTTCGCTTTCGGCCTCTTCGACCTGGACTGGGACGTGTTCTCCCAGCACATCGAGGGGGCCGTCAACCGGGTGCCCGTGCTGGGCAAGACGGGGGTCAAGTCCACCGTCTGCGGCCCAGGTGAGGGGAGGCCTGGGGCCGGGCTGGTCCTGGGGGCTGAGGGGGAGGCCTGGGGTGGAGGCTGGCCCTGGGGGCTGAGCGGGAGGCCTGGGGTGGAGGCTGGCCCTGGGGGGTAAAGGGGGAGGCCTGGGGCAGGGCTGGCCCTGGTGCTGAGCGGGAGGCCTGAGGGCAGGGGCTGGCCCGGCAGGCAGTAGCTGGGTCTCTCTGCTCCCGGGGCCTCTGTCCAGCAGCCTGGAGGTGGGACTGCTGTGCGCCCCCTGCAGGCCGGGACCTGCGGGAGGCGGGGCAGGAATGGCCCCCAGGGCCACGGCCAGGCTTCCTCCGCCCCAGTGTGAGCCCTGCCCCGAGCTGGCCTCCCCCAGCAGCCTGGCGGCAGGACCAGGGCAGGTGTCTGGACGGGAGTGCCGGGGTGCTGGTGCCTGGGGGGCTGCCCGGAGGAGGCACGGCCCAATCGAGCCTGAGGGGGAGCACGCTCCGTGGCTCCCTCAGGCCCCAGGGCACCCCCTCCCTCCGGGCGCACAGGCCTGTTTGATGCCCAGCTGACGGCGGTGAGCCCGCCCGGGTCAGGCTGTGGGGGAGGCTCCGGGTCTCCGGGCCCCGGGCGGCCGTCTGTGAACCGGGACAGCGAGAAGCCACAGCCGGAGGGCCCGCCGCCAGCAGCCTGTGTCCCCGTGGGCACCGCAGCCAGAAGCCGGGCAGAGCCGCGCCCACAGGCTGGCGGGGAGGGAGGGCGGGCAGGAGGGGGGTCAGCGCCCAGCCTCCACCCGCACACCGGTGTCCGGCACGCGGGCTGGCCCGGCCTGAGCAGCTTTGGCGAGGGCTGTGGCCTCTTGGGGAGGCCGGGGTGCAGGGCGACCCACAGGGGCAGGATTGGGGAGCAGGCGGTGACTCACTGCCCGCAGCCTCCGGGGAGGGGACGCAGGGAGAACAGGCCGGAAGCTCCCAGCGAACATAACCTAATTAGCCGCGTCCTCGCCCTGGGCCTCGCCTGGGGCGCTGGGAGGCTCTGAGTCTGTGTCCGGTGGGGAGGTCTCTGGGGAAACGGGCCTCTCTCCTCCGGGACGCACAGCCAGGCCGTTGGCCTCGGAGCAGAGCTGGGAGCCCGGGGCCCCGCCTTTGGGGAAGCAGGGTTGGGAGGTCGGAGCCCAGGCGGGGTCTCGCTTGTCCTGCCCCATGCACCCTGCTCCCTCATCTCCGTGTGGCTCAGCCTGGGTCTTTGGTTCAACGTTCACAGACCCTCGTCCCCCGTAACGGCTCCCGCCGGCGTCTCCTCGGGTCCCGAGGCTCAGGACTTCCTGTGGCCGCAGGGTCAGCAGCCCTGGCCCCTCTCCTTTCCTTTTATTGTTTTTAATTTTTAGTTTTAGAGAGAGGGAGGGGGAGGGAGAGAGGTAGAAACATCTATGAGAGAATCGTGGATCGGCTGCCTCCTGCGCGCCCCACACTGGGGATCCCGCCTGCCACCCGGGCCTGTGCCCCCACCGGGAATCGAACCGTGACCTCCCAGTTCATAGGCTGACGCTCACCCCCTGAGCCGCCGCTTTGAGAGTCTCTGACTGAGGCACAGCTGCCAGTGTAGCTGCCCACGTGGCCGGAGCAGCCAGAGGGCTCCCTGGAGGAGGGGGCATGGAGTGGACGCTTGAGGCTGGGCGGGGCCCTGCCCCAACCACTGCCCCCTCGGGAGCCCCCACCCGGGGGCCCAGCCCGGGGGCCTCAGGCCACCATTCCTTCCAGAGTCCTTCACGCCCGACCACAAGCCCCTGATGGGGGAGGCGCCCGAGCTGCGCGGCTTCTTCCTGGGCTGCGGCTTCAACAGTGCAGGTGCGTCCAGTCCCCCCGCACCCCGAGGCCTCCCGTCAGCGCCCCCGCGTGGGGCGAGGGGCTGGCCTGGAGCCCTGCGCCCCGACTGGGGTGGGGACAGAGGCCTGCAGGGACGGGTGAGGTCCTCAGGAGGCCTGCAGTGCCGCTGCCGGGGGAGGGTAGAACCGGGGGGGAAGGGGGTTAGGGGGGAGCAGCTGTGAGATGGTGCCCCCCCCCGCAGGGATGATGCTGGGCGGCGGCTGCGGGCAGGAGCTGGCCCACTGGATCGTCCACGGGCGCCCGGAGAAGGACATGTACGGCTACGACATCAGGCGAGTGCCCGGACCCCTGTGGGTGGGGTGGCTCCGCCGGCCGCCCCGGGACCTGGCAGGGCTGCGTGTGCCGCTGGGCCCGTGCAGGTAACCCCCCTGCAGGCCGGCCCGTGGCAGCGCTGAGAGAACCCGCACAGAGGCCGAGGGGCAGAGGTCAGGGCTGGGGTCCTGGTTGCCCTGGGAGTTGAGGCTGGTGACACAGGTGCCCGGGCAGGCCCAGGCGGTGGGGTCCTGGGGCCGGGCTCTGTCCCAGGCTGCAGTCTGGCCACAGCTTGGGGGGCTGCTGGGCGTTCAGCCGGCTCTGCTGTTCCTGCTCCTGGGGGACTACCCCCCCTGGGACCCCCCGCTGCAGGGGTGCAGGGGTACAGGCTCAGCCAGCACGCCTGCTCCTCTGCTTGCCTCCTCCCTTCCTGGCCTGATAGGACATCACACCCCTGGGTGCCCGCCCCACGGGACCCGCCGGCAGGCTCTGAGACGCAGTGTGCCGTGTGCCTGGTGCCACGGGGGCCGTGCACGGGCGCTCCCAGGAGGGGCATGTTCCCGAACGCGGAGTCTGTGCGGGGCCTTGGGGATGGACCTGCTACCCACAGCAAGGAGGGGGCTCGGGGGGCAGGGCTTGCCTGGGGTCACCCAGGGCTGTCTGCAGGGGCAGGCAGGCCGCGTTCGACCCGGCTCACACCTGCCTCCCCGGGGCCTTGGCAGCCAAGGCTGCCCCCCAGGCTGCCGGCCGAGGCTGCCTGCCCAGCCCTGCCCAGCCCTGCCCAGTGGGACCTGTCTGGCTCCCTCCGCCAGCCCTTCCCCGGGGCTACCCAGGCCCGGGGTGTGGCTGGAGGCAGAGGGACCCTGAGAGCCGGCCGGGAGGGCTGGGGGAGGCGGTGAATCCTCGGCGCCCTCCTGGCGGGGACAGTGGCTCCCGGGCCGTGGGGGGGGGTTGCCGGGTCCCGGTCCTCGGCCCCGCGGCAGTGGCGGCAGTGACGGCCTCCCTGTGGCAGGCGCTTCCACCACTCGCTCACCGACCACCGGCGCTGGATCCGCGAGCGCAGCCACGAGTCCTACGCCAAGAACTACGCCGTGGTCTTCCCGCACGACGAGCCGCTGGCCGGCCGCAACATGCGCACCGACCCGCTGCACGAGGTGCCCGCGGCGCCCGCGGCTCCGGGCGGGTGATGGGGCGGCTCCCGGGGCGGCTCCCCGCGGCTCCAGGCGGGTGATGGGGGGCAGCTCCCCGCGGCTCCGGGCGGGTGATGGGGCGGCTCCCAAGGCTCTGGGCCGGTGATGGGGGCAGCTCCCGGGGGCGGGATGTTCGGGAGGCGGGGTGCCCGGAGGCGGGGTGCCCAGAGGCTGGTGTCCGGAGGTGGGGTGCCCGGAGGCGGGGTGCCCAGAGGCTGGTGTCCGGAGGCTGGTGCCCGGAGGCGGGGTCTGGGGGCCACCTGCGGGCGAGCGGCGGGGAGGAGGCGCCCGCTCATTCCCAGGCGCTTACTCAGGCGGGAGCTCAGTGCACTGGGTCTCCCCGGGCCTCTGGGCGGGGCCGGGGGGTGGGATCTGGGGGAGGTGCCGGGCAGTGTGTGCAGTCCACGGCAGGGGGCGCCATCAGACGGCGGCCCGCGGAGAAGTCCATGCCTGTCCTTCCTCTCGGGTCACACCTGGCAGTACCCACCACGCTCCACCCCGCTCCACCCCGCTTCACCCCGCACCACCCCACTTCACCCCGCACCACCCCACACCACCCCGCTCCACCACGCACCACCCCGCTTCACCCCGCTTCACCCCGCACCACCACGCTCCACCCCGCTCCACCCCGCTCCACCCCGCACCACCCCACACCACCACGCTCCACCCCGCTCCACCCCGCTCCACCCCGCACCACCCCACACCACCACGCTCCACCCCACACCACCACACACCACCACACACCACCACGCTCCACCACACACCACCACACACCACCACACACCACCCCGCTCCACCCCACACCACCCCGCTCCACCACGCACCACCACACACCACCACGCTCCACCACGCACCACCCCGCTCCACCACGCACCACCCCGCTCCACCACGCTCCACCCCACACCACCCCGCTCCACCACGCTCCACCCCGCTCCACCAGGCTCCACCACGCTCCACCCGGCACCACCACGCACCACCACACACCACCACGCACCACCCCGCTCCACCACGCTCCACCACGCACCACCACACACCACCACGCTCCACCCCGCTCCACCACGCACCACCACACACCACCACGCACCACCCCGCTCCACCACGCTCCACCACGCTCCACCACGCACCACCACACACCACCACGCTCCACCCCGCTCCACCACGCACCACCACACACCACCACGCTCCACCACGCTCCACCACACACCACCACGCTCCACCCCGCACCACCACGCACCACCACACACCACCCTGCTCCACCACGCTCCACCCCGCTCCACCACGCTCCACCCCGCTCCACCACGCTCCACCACGCTCCACCCCGCTCCACCCCGCTCCACCACGCACCACCACGCTCCACCCCGCTCCACCCCGCTCCACCCCGCTCCACCACGCACCAACACGCACCACCACGCTCCACCCCGCACCACCACGCTCCACCACGCTCCACCCCGCTCCACCACGCTCCACCCCGCTCCACCCCGCTCCACCCCGCTCCACCACGCACCAACACGCACCACCACGCTCCACCCCGCACCACCACGCTCCACCACGCTCCACCCCGCTCCACCACGCTCCACCCCGCTCCACCCCGCTCCACCACGCACCACCCCGCTCCACCACGCTCCACCACACACCACCACGCTCCACCACGCTCCACCCCCCTCCACCCCGCTTCACCCCGCACCACCCCGCTCCACCACGCTCCACCCCGCACCACCCCACACCACCACGCACCACCCCGCTCCACCACGCTCCACCACGCTCCACCACGCTCCACCACGCACCATCCCGCTCCACCACGCTCCACCCCGCACCACCACGCTCCACCACGCTCCACCACGCTCCACCCCGCTCCACCACGCTCCACCCCGCTCCACCACGCTCCACCACGCTCCACCCCGCTCCACCACGCACCACCCCGCTCCACCACGCACCACCACACACCACCCTGCTCCACCCCGCACCACCACGCACCACCCCGCTCCACTACGCTCCACCCGGCACCACCCCGCTCCACCCCGCACCACCACGCACCACCACGCACCACCACATACCACCCTGCACCACCACGCTCCACCACGCACCACCATGCACCACCCCGCACCACCAGGGGCTGCGGCCTCAGCACAGAACCCCACTCCCCAAGGGCTGGAGCCCCGCACCGGCTCTCCTGGCGGCTGGACAGCCGCCCTGCCCTGCTGTCCGCAGGTGGGGGACAGAGCAGGGTGGATCCCTGGAAGAACAGCCCCCCCCATCTCATTCCACCCCGTCCCTCCCAGGGGCCCGTCTCCATCTCCTCACCCCGGGGAGTGTGGGCCGGGGCAGGGGGGTACGCTGGGGCTCTGTGGGGGGCGCTTGAGGGGCAGGATCTCTCGGCCCGTACGCCCTGGGGTGTGATGTCCAGGTTCAACCGCCGGCTGCCCCGCCTGGGGTGCCGGCCCGGCCTGACGGGTGCTGCCCCCCCCCCCCCCCAGGAGCTGCTGGCACGAGGCTGTGTGTTCCAGGAGCGGCACGGCTGGGAGCGGCCAGGGTGGTTTAACCCCGGAGGCGCGGCCCCGGTGAGCGCCCCCCCCCCCCCCCCCCCGTCCTGACCCCACCACCCGCCCACCAGCCGTGCCCACAGGGCGCTGGCCCCGGGAAGCTGGTGCCGCAGCAGGCTGGGCACACCCCCGCCCTGGGTTGCAGGAGGAACCAGCGTCTCCTCATAAACTGGTTCACGTATTTTTGGCAACAGCAACTGCTCATTTGTGTGAGTGGGCGGCTTCGCAGGAGGCTGCGCGTCCCGTGTGTTGCCTTGTGAGCTGGGATTTCACACCGTCCTGGCCTCGGGGTGCCCTCCTGGGGCTCCATCCCCCCGCCCCCCCGCAGCCCCCGCCGGGGTCCCCGAGGGCCCAGGCCCTCAGGAGGGTCAGACCACCCTGTCTGCCCTGGGGCAGCCCGCAGGCGGCCTAGAGGCTTAGGCCGATGGGGAGTATTTGGTTCCGAATGGAGCAAATTAAACCCTTTCCTGCTGCTGTGCTCTGCCATCCCCTCCCTGCACAGCCCCTCTCCGTCTCCATGGCAACCACATCCCCGGAGTGCTCCGGGCCATCGCCAGGGGAGCGGGCGCTGAGCTCCCTCACGCCTCCGCTCGGGTCTGAGCCCCGCTGGGCGCCGTCCCTCCTCCTGGGCCCGTGGCACCCACTCCCCACAGGGCCCAGCGCCTCCTGTGCACCTCCGGGCGAGGGCCACGCTGTCCGACACCCCTGGAACCCGGGACCCGGGACAGGTCTTCGTGTCCCTGTGCCCGCTTCCTCACCCGCAGCAAGGACCTCCTGGGAGAGGGCACTCTCAGCAGGACGTGGTCCCCCACTGCCATGGCGACAGCCTCAGGGGAGGCGCTGGGCCACCCTCCTCCATCCCCATCCCTGGCCACCCCCACTGCCTGGGCGCTGAGTTGAGAGCCCTGAGGTCCTGGTGGACCCCCTCCTGCTCCCCATCTCCCACACCTGGACTTCACGCCCATTCCCCTGGGGCCCCCTTGACTCAGAGACCCACCCCACGCGCGCTCAGCGATGCCGGTGTCACGTGGGCGGGTGTAAGGGTCTGGGTGTCTGTCCTGGGGACCAGCCCGGCACCTGTGTGTGGGGGGAGGGGGAGGGAGGACCGGGACCAGCAGGCTCCTCCCCTAGGTCCTGGCCTACGACTACTACGGGGCGTACGGGCACCAGGCACACCAGGACTACGCCTACAACCGGCTGCTGGGGGCCGAGTACACCTTCGACTTCCCGCCCCACCACGAGGTGGTGAGTGCCCCCCCCCGCCGGAGGAGACGGGGCTCCTGTGGGCCGGCTCCTGGCCCAGAGCCGCCGGCCCCGACTCCGTCCCGGGCCCATGGGGCTGACTCCCGCCCCACTGCTCCCTTGTCTGCCCCGAACACAGCCGGGGGCAGGGGCACTGCTCCAGGCGGCTGGCCTGGGTCCGGCTGTGTGGCCTCAGCCCCCGAGCCTGGTCCAGAGCCGGGAGCCCGGCAGCTTTGTCAGCGATGACCCTCCTCTGGGCCCAGCGCAGGGCGCCCTCTGCAGAGCAGGCCTCGGGGGGGGGGGGGGGGACAGAGAAGACCCGCTGGGGAGGGTCCGTGGTCAGTTGCTGGGGAGGGTCCGTGGGCCGCTGGGGAGGGTCCGTGGGTCGGGCCACTTGTTGCCCCTCACGCCACACGTCGGCAGGGGAGGCCGGCCAGACAGCTCCCTGCCCCTCGCCGCTCCCACTCTGGGTGCGGGGACGGGCCTGGGCCACACGGGGGGCGTTCTCGGGGCAGCCAGTGAGGACGCACCAGGCCGGCTCCTTCACCACGTGGTCAGAACCTCCCTGTCCGCACCCGTGGCCGTTGGGAGAGGCGGGGTGGCCCCATAAGTGCCTCTGGGCAGGAGGGGAGCCGAGGCCCGAGCCCGGAGCCCAGCGCCCAGGCAGGCCCCACCCCGAGGGGCCGCAGCACTGAGGGTCGCCCGCACAGCCAGCGCCCTGGCCGGCACCTGCGGCCACGGGGTCTCACTCAGGAGCGCCTGGGGAGTGAACCCCTGTGGTCGCCCTGAAATGCCTCATACTCTTTGGTCTCCTCACCGAGGGCATTTCCCCACTGGCTTTGAGAGCGAGGGGAAGAGACAGGGAGAGCCAGAAACACCGACGTGAGAGAGAGACATCGATGGGCTGCCTCCTGCTCCAGCTCTGACCGGGCCCGGCCAGGGAGGAGCCTCAATCACATCGTTTGTAGTTTTAATTCCAATCTGTGCTTCCGTTACGTTTACTCGTAAGCATTTTAAAGTCCTTTCATACGTCACCCGCTTACTGTCACTCCGATCGGTGTCTTCTGAGTCCCCTTGCGGTGTTCCCTGGTCTGTTGGCTGTTGTTTTCCCTGATCGGAGAGTTCCCGTGTCCTGCGGGATGTCAGTGAGACTTTAACCCTTTTCAGAGCATTAGTGTGCTTTTATGGCTCATGATCTAGCCTGGGTGTGTCCGTGTGGCACGGTGTTTCTGAGCTGGAGGGGACGGAGGGGGCTCAGCGGGTGGCAGCAGAGAGCCCAGTGCCCATGCTCCTGAGCGGGGGCATGTCCAGAGCCTGGCCCCGCCCGCCCTCCAGATCCGGCGGGAGTGCCTGGCCTGCAGAGGCGCGGCTGCCGTGTTCGACATGTCCTACTTCGGCAAGTTCTACCTGGTGGGCCCCGACGCCAGGAAGGCCGCCGACTGGCTGTTCTCCGCCGACGTCAGCCGGCCCCCAGGTACGCGGCCAGGCAGGTCCTGTCCTTCAGGCTTCCGCTCCAGGCAGAGCTCCTGGCACAGCCCTGGGCACAGCGACAAGGTGGCACCTCTGGGCTCCTCCAGCACATGCTCTGCCCCTCGGCTGGCCTGCACCCTGTCCGGATCCCCATGTCCTCACCACCAATCCCGGGCTCCAGGCTGTCGGACGCCCTGCCCCCTCCCTCCACCCTCGCTGCCCCTGCACTCTGTTCCAGAAAGGATTCGAGGTCCCCCCACCCTGTTCAATGTCCCTTGGCACTGCCCCGTCTCCCCCAGGGATGCTTGCGCCAGATTAGGTTCCAGATCAAATAAACACCATGCCCAGTTAGGTGTGAACTTCAGAGAGAGAAGAGGGAATTTCTCAAAATGTGTTGTGTGACATTGGGACAGTCCTCTCCTGTTTTATCACCCACACACCACCCTACCCACCAGCACCCCACCCTCCCCCATTCTCTGTGTCTGTCCCGGGACGGCTGTGACCCTGTCACCCACACACCACTCTACCCACCAGCACCCCTATCCTCTGTGTCTGTCCCGGGACGGCTGTGACCCTGTCACCCACACACCACCCTACCCACCAGCACCCACCCTCCCCTGTCCTCGGTGTCGGTCCCGGGGCAGCTGTGACCCTGCGAGGCCTCAGTGACCGCCTTTCATTTTGGAGGCGAGAGGCCACAGCAGGCGTCACCGGGCCACGCTCCCCGGACGCTCGGGGGACCCTCCTGCCTCCATCCCGGCTTCTGGCTGCGCTGTCCTTCCTTCCTGTCTCTCGTCTCTGCCTCTGAGGCCTAGGGCCTCCTCCCTGCATTTCCTCTCCCTGTGAGGACACCACCATGGTGTATCAGAACCCCACTCACAGCCTGCCGTGTGCGGCCCTCGTCCCACAGGCTCCACGGTGTACACCTGCATGCTGAACGCGCGGGGCGGCACCGAGAGCGACCTGACCGTCAGCCGCCTGGCCCCCGGCCCCGAGGCCGCGGCCCTCGCCCCCGCCTTCGAAGGTGAGCGAGGCCCAGCCCTGGCCCTGCCTGGCCCTGCTCTGGCCCTGCCCCTGGCCCTGCCTGGCCCTGCCCTGGGCCTGCCCTGGGCCTGCCTTGGCCCAGCCCCTGCCCCTGCCCTGGCCCTGCCTGGCCCTGCCCTGGGCGGGAGGTCGGCTCCGCTGACGCAGCTCTGGGCCTGGTGTGCCCGGCGGGCGGCTGTGCTGTCGGTGAGCCCGTCAGTCCCTGGCGCTCTCGGCGGCCGTGGCGTGGGTGTGGTTCTGAGCCACCTCTGATCACAAAGGGCCAGGGTACCAGCCCGCAGGGAGCCACTAGCCATGGAGCCAACAGGAATCCAGTCCAGGCTGCAGCGCCCAGCGCCCCTCCCCACCCGCCCGCAGCTGCCGGGCCTGGTCCGGCCGCTGGTCCGGTCCCCGCCCTCCCATGCTGGCATGAGAGAGCGTAGGCCAGGGCCACCAGTGCCGGCCTCAGTGAGTCCTGATCTGGGACCAGGGACACGGGCACACAGGGTGACAGGAAGCTGGTGGGCTCTCGGCTCACAGAGGACAGGAGCGGGACCCAGGCTGCCCGCCTGCCAACCTGGGCCGGGTTCTCCGTGGCGACCTGGTGTCAGGCTCACACCTTCTCGGGTCGGGAGCCTCAGATTCTCCCAGGACTGTGCTCCCTGGTGTGTGGGGTCCCACACCCCGGCCTCCCCCAGGGACAGCCCCACGCTGGGTCCTGGCGTGAGGGTCCAGGGCGCTGGCGAGCTCACGGCTCCGCTGGTCCCTCTCTCAACCCGAGCCTCGGGCCGCCCTGTGCCAGCCCCAGCCCCCCGCCCCCTAAGGCTGCTGCCCTTCCAGGCGATGGCTTCTACCTGGCGGTGGGCGGGGCCGTGGCCCAGCACAACTGGTCGCACATCACCTCGGTGCTGCAGGACCGGCGGCTCCGCTGCCAGCTCATCGACAGCTCCGAGGACCTGGGCATGATCAGCATCCAGGGCCCGGCCAGGTGAGGAGGGCCCTGGCCCGGCCCGGCCCTCCGGCTGGGACCCGCGGGCAGAAGCCCTACTGTCCAAATGGGAAGTCTGGTTCGCTCATCCACCGGGGGAAGCTAGCGGTCCACGAGGGACGAGCCGTCTTCATGGCTCTCAGAGGCAGAGAGACTTTCCGTGTGACTCGGAATCCAGGGTCAGGGGCCGTGTCTCAGCCTCACACGCTCTGGGAGCGGCGGGCCAGGCCGGTCCTGCTGCTGCCCGGCTGAGAGCGTGTCCGCACGGAGCCCGGAGACGCCGGCAGGCGGCACTCACCCCCGTTCCCTCTGTAGTGTTTACAGGGCTCCCGCCCCCCAACCCCCGAGGAGCCCCGCCCAGAGAGGGGCACACGGGCAGCTGCCCACTTCCCAGAGGCCCCTCTGGGCTTCAGAGGAGGAACCCTGAAGGGGTGGGGGCAGGAGGGGAGGCACATCGTGTGGAAGCCGCCCACGGGCGCCTGTGGGCTGCCAGCCCCGTGCCAGCGTCTCCCCGGCCGGCCCCAGCCTGGCCGCCTCCCCCCGCTCCCTCCCTCCCTCCCTGGCGGGGTCAGCCTGGCCGCCCCCCTCCCTCCCTCCCTCCCTCCCTCCCTGGCGGGGTCAGCCTAGCCGCCCCCCTCCCTCCCTGGCGGGGTCAGCCTGGCCGCCCCCCTCCCCCCTCCTTCCCTCCCTCCCTGGCGGGGTCGGACTGCCCTCCGGGGCACACGGCAGGCGAACGTGGGTCCTTACAGAGCAATGGAATAGGATCTGAACGGCTTGTGCACTTGAACTGTCAGGTGTTTGAATTCGGTCGCCTGTGGGACCCAGGTGGCGGTGGGGGAGCGCAGGGCAGCGGAGGTGGTCGGATGGGGGTGGCGTTAGATGGTCAGTCACCGTCCCAGCCTCTGTCCGCCCACCGAGGGGGAGCTCCTGAGGGCGCGCCTGTGGGTCTGCCCTCTCTCCAGCCGCTGGCTCCTTCACTGTTGCCGCGACGGGGTGTTCTCTGCCGGTTTGGTGCGTGTTCGTCCTGCCGCGCCTTCATTGGCACCGGCCTGCGGTCAGCTGCCCCACGAGCGCGGGGATTGGTCACCAGTCTCTCCTGGCACGGAGCACGCACCCAGGGGTGCCAGCGGGTGTTTGACCGACCGACTGACCGACTGCTCTCGCTCACAGCCGGGCCATCCTCCAGGAGGTGCTTGAGGCCGACCTGAGCAACGAGGCCTTCCCCTTCTCCACCCACCAGCTGGTGCGAGCCGCCGGGCACCTGGTAGGTACCCGCTGTCTGTCCCCGGGTTGTGGGCGGCAGCCACCTGCTGGAAGGAGCACACCGGGGCTGGCGCCGGGGACCCCGTGCCCTGGGGCGTGGCTGTTGCCCCCCAGAGCCTCGGCCCCCGCTGTGCACAGAGACCCCGGTCCTGCCTCACGCCTGCCCTCAGGCTGCTCGATGCCCGCACTCCTCCAGTTGTGACCGAAAACGTGTCCTGACGTGAGTGCGTGCCCTCTGTGGCTGCAGGGTCACCGTGGCAGGGCGGCAGGCACGGGCAGCAGGGCACGGGCAGCCGCTGCCGCAGGGTCACCATGGCAGGGCGGCAGGCACGGGCAGCAGGGCACGGGCAGCTGCTGCCGCAGGGTCACCATGGCAGGGTGGCAGCCGGCGTGGCCAGGCCATCACCGGGAGGATGATGTTCCTTCCGTTGGGCTCAGGTTTTTGGCTGCCCGGCCAGTGAGAAGGGAGAAGGCACAGATCTGTGTCTGAGAAGCGGACGTGACCATGAGGACGGGTTGGGCGGACAGACAGCCGGTCCTGTTCTCATCCCCGTGTCCACCGGGGCCTGGGCGGCGGTGGAGGGAGCGCTGGTCGGGGCCATGCTGGCCCGCGGAGGGGCTGGAGGGGACGCGTCTGGGTCCTGTTAGCGGATGAACAGCCCGGCGATGACATCGGCCGGGAGGCCGCCAGGGGGACACAGACACAGGCTGCTCCGCTCCCGCCGTCCCTGCAGAGGCCGGGCTGGGGAGCAGGAAGCTGGGGGTGTATGTGTGTGTTTGTGTCTAGCTCGCTTCCTGGCTCCTCGGTGCCAAATGGCCTGCTGGGACCAGAGAGGGTGGGCACCTCGCAGGAGCAGCACAGCTTGGCCGGGTGGTGGCTGCACCCCGCCTTCCCCGTTGTGGCTCCTGGGCCCGTGCAGAGTCTGAGCTGGGGGGCTCAGCATCCGTTCAGCCTCTGTGGTTTGGGGGTGGGGGTCGGTTAGTTGGGGAGAGGACAAGGTGGGAACACTCCCTCTCAGCCAGGCGCTCCCATGAGGCACCTGGAACGGGCTCTTGGATGACGGTCCGGCTGCCTCCGGCCCCTGGGGCCGCCCTGGCCACCTCCCAGGTCTGGCCGTGCAGAGGGGCCGGCTCTGAGCAGGGCTGGCGGGACAGAGGCTGGGCCTCGGATGAACCTCTCCCCGGGTGATAAGCAGGCAGACATGGGGGGGGGTTAGGGTGTGCGGACTCCTCCCTGCCCTGGCCCCAGGGTTGGCTACTGGTTTTGTCCAAAAGGACTTACTGTGTGTGCCCTTGTGTGTTTCTAACCAAACTGCCGCCTGGGGCTGAGCGCTGGGCCTGGGACACCCCTCTACCTCCCTCTGTCCACCTGGCACTGGACAGGGTGACCTGGCACCGGACAGGGTGGGCCTGGCACGGGATGGGGTGGGCCTGGCACTGGACAGGGTGACCTGGCACTGGACAGGGTGGGCCTGGCACGGGACGGAGTGGGCCTGGCATGGGACGGGGTGGGCCTGGCACCGGACAGGGTGGCCTGGCACCGGACGGGGGTCGTTAAGCGGATTTCAGGAGGAGCTGGCGCGAAGCTTGCCTGCCTGTCTGGGCACCAGCGCTTCATTGAAAACCCTGGGCCCCTGCCAAGTGAGGATGAGAAAGGAAGTCCTCACTCAGCGAGGGGGGAGAAGAGGGAGAGAGAGAGGGAGAGGGACGGACGGAGAGACAGACAGGCCCCAGGTGCTTCCTTCTTCCCTGGCTCGGGCTGATGCTGACACGGAGGGGACCACCCTGCGTGCACATCTGCGCGCGGCCTCGTTCCCTCCCACCTGGCAGTCGGTTCCTTGTTCCTCTGAATGTTCTCTGAGCCCCTCTGCGCGCCACATCCCCGCTCAGGCCCAGGAGCCCCTGTGCCTGGGCATGGACGGGGGCCCGTGTCCCCTCCTCGGAGCCCTGTGACCATCGTCCCCCGGCTGGGCCCTCCCACCGCCTCGCTGGGACCCTGAGGCCGGCCTGTGGCCAGTGTCTCCTCCCGAAGGCCTCTGCGCCCGCCGGCCCCTCCAGGATCACACCCGGGTTGAGGTTGGGGGTCGGGCAGGGTCCTGCAGCCACAGCCCAGCCTGCGCTGGAGGGTGGCCTGGGCGGGGTGGGGCCGGGGGGCGCGCTCCCCATGGAGCTGACGTCAGAATGAGGAGGGTCCCAGGGACAAGTGCGAGCAGGGAGAGGCTAGTCTTGGCAGGAGGAACACAGATGGCAGAGGCCTATGTTGGGGTCACAGACCTGCATGGGCGGAAGCTGGGTCAGCACAGAACCCGAGGGCGCAGCGGCAGTGTCACCCCTTTGTCCAAGAGAGCTGGGGGCTGGGCAGGCCTGGCTTCCGGTCCCACCCCGGCCTTCTTTGGGGCTGCCTCTCAGGCCTCAGTTTCCCCATCTGCAGGGCCAAGGCCAGACAATGTCCGGGCCACAGTCTGCGCAGACGTCCCTCCTCCCGGGCCCCGGGATCTCACATCCTCCCAGACAAGATCCTGTCTGGCCCTGGCCGTGCTGGCGCCCCATCCCTCAGTGTGGGGAGGCGCTGGGGCCGGGGCGTGGGGCCGGGCCAAGTGTTTATGGGAGGTCGCTGGGCTCCGGCCAAGCAGATGGGGAGCGGGCTGGGGGCCTGTGTAGCCGGCGAGGCTCCGGGCTGCAGGGCGGGGACGGCGGGCCCTGAGCCTGGACCACGGCCAGGCCTGGGGCGCCCACGGGACCCTCGCTCACAGCGGGCGGGCGGGTGGGCCCTGGCTGAGCAGCGTCCCCAGTGGCGCAGTGTCCGGGTTTTGCAATAATTCTCCAAGCTGCTTGGCTCGGACCGTCTCCCAGGAGCCTGCATTCCTAGAGGCAGGACGGAGGGCGGCGACGCCGTCCCCTCGGCAGCCAGCTGACCAGATGGCCTGCCTCCCCACACATTGGCCTCAAGGCCGTGGAGGTCCCGGCGGGAAACGGGGTGCCTCGGTGAGGACGGGGCCCCCGCAGAGCAGCCGGCGCCGGGCTGCAGGCTCAGCGTGAGCCATGGCAAAACGGAACATTGGTTTCAGGTCCAAAGCGTCCGTGGAAGTGCCTGGCTCCCCCGGCCTGGCACCTGCAGGGCCTCGGGTCTGGGCTCAGGCGGGACTTCCGTCATCTCCCAGGAGAGCTGGCGGGGTTCGGTGACACACCGAGCCCCCGATGCACTTCCAGCCCCAGAACTGGAGGGAGTCCCTTTGGCGATTCCAGCCGTAGCGTTGGGGTCATTGGTTTGGGGGCGGCAGGACCCCCACACGGTCACTTAGAAGAGAGCCGTCCACTCTCTCAACGCGCCCCGCTCCCTTACCTGTTTCCCAAGGGCTCCTGGGAAGTCTCTTCGGAGACCCCGCATTTTGGGGGCAGGCTGGCCGGGGCCCGGAGCAGCCGGTAACGGTGGGTGAAGCGGAACCGCCCGCCGTGAGCGGTAGCCGGGCCCTGACCACGTGGGGCGCCCCCGCCCAGTGAGCCTGTGCCCCCCCAGGTGCGGGCCATGCGGCTGTCCTTCGTGGGCGAGCTGGGCTGGGAGCTGCACATCCCCAGGCCGGCCTGCGTGCCCGTGTACCGGGCCGTGATGGCCGCCGGCGCCAAGCACGGCCTCGTCAACGCCGGCTACCGGGCCATCGACTCGCTGAGCATCGAGAAAGGTGCGCGCAGGTCCGGGGCGGGGAGGGGGGCGGAGGCCGGGACGCTGCTGCCCCCAGGTCTGTCCGCTCCTCCCCTGTCACTCCCTCCTGACCCCCTCAGAGGGGAGCTGGGTGCGGGGACAGGACCAGGCTCCGTTTGGATTCCCGAGAGCCGCCAGGGCCTCCGGGATCCTTTCCCGTCCCAGCCCGAGGGCGAGGCCGGGAAGCGGTGCGGCCTGGCCGGGCGCTGAGCCCGGGTGCCCCGCACAGGCTACCGGCACTGGCACGCGGACCTGCGGCCGGACGACAGCCCCCTGGAGGCGGGCCTGGCCTTCACCTGCAAGCTCAAGTCCGAGGTGGCCTTCCTGGGCCGTGAGGCCCTGCAGCGGCAGCGGGCGGCCGGCCTCCGCCGGCGCCTGGTCTGCTTCACCGTGGACGAGTGAGTGCTCCCCGGGCCGGGCCGGGCGCAGCTGAGGGGAGGGGGACGGCTCACCTCCTCCGGCACAGACTTCTCAAGAGGGAAGTCCTGCCGAGCCAGCCCCCGGGGGCGGCCCAGGCAGAGGGCCTCACAGGCTGGCCCTGCCTGAGGCAGCTGCCCAGTCACCACTGGCCCTCCCCGTGTCCCAGCTCCGTCCTCCTGGGGCTCCGGGTGAGGGGACGGGGCGGGCAGGGCCACTTACATGCAGGACCACGGGTGGCAGGGACCGGGCCTCCTGCCCCAGAGAGGAGCCCCCCTCAGGGACCTGCCCTCTGGGAGGTGGTTTGGGGGTGACAGCCGCTCCCAGAGTCGGGGGCTTTCAGAGGTGTCAGGAGTGACGGGTGGAGGAGGGGGTTGGGGGGGCAGGTAGAGCTGGCTTTCCACCATCTGAGGTGCCCTCCTGCCCGCCAGGCTGTCTGCGTGACTGCCTGCCGGCCCCCCAGAGCACCTGGCGAGGTTGGGCACAGAGAGTGTAGGGCTGGCACCCCGAGGTCCTGTCCGCTGGCCGTGCAGCCTCGGGAACGCCCGCCCTCGGCTCTGCCCCAGGCGAGGCGGGGCCTCCCGAGCCTGTGCCTCCCTGGAGGTGGCACCACGGGGACGGGGACCTGCTCACAGGCCTCCTTCCGTCCCCTCCTCTCCACGCACGGGCCCAGGCCGCTTCACGCCGACACCGCTCCCTCCGGGCTCGTCCCCTCGGTGTGGGCCCCCTCCCGCCAGGCGTCCCCGGGGCTGGGCTCTGGTGCCAGTCTCTCTCCTGCGTCTGCCAGGAAGGTGCCCATGTTCGGCCTGGAGGCCATCTGGAGGGACGGCCAGGTGGTGGGCCACGTGCGCAGGGCCGACTTCGGCTTCGCCATCGACAAGACCGTCGCCTACGGCTACATCCGGGACCCCAGCGGCGGGCCGGTGAGTGGGGGACGACACGGCAGCGTGGTGGCCGCTGTGTAAGGCGTTGGCCCCCGGCCTGTCCCACTGCCCAGGGCCACGGGGCCACGGGGCCAAAGGGCCGGGCTGAAAAGCCGCCTCACTCCTTGTGTGGTTTCATTTTTCTGTCCGGTCCTGAGTGCCGGGAGCGAGGGCTCCTCATCCCAGGCAGAACCCCAGACACCTCCCGAGGGCCCAGCCCGTTATCCCTGGGCCCAGGGGCCTGGGCCAGGACGCCCCGCGGGGCAGGCCCTCGGTTCGGGGGCGCCTGCGCAGGTCGGCCTGCGGGCAGGGGGGCAGCGAGGCCGAGGCCCTGCTCCGAGAGCAGCAGGGGTGGCCAGCACCCAGGGGAGTCCAGAGTGACGGCGTCTCCCTGCCCCCAGGTCTCCCCGGACTTCGTGAAGAGCGGGGACTACAGCCTGGAGCGGATGGGCGTGGCCTACCCCGCCTGGGCCCACCTCAAGTCCCCCTTCGACCCGGACAACAAGAGGGTGAAGGGCATCTACTGACGGGCCTCGGGCCGGGCCCCGCTGCTCCGGCCGCCAGGACCTGTCCCCCCTCTCCTCCCGCCCCCCCCCCCCCGGCGCCCAGAGGGCCTGCCCCCCCTTGGGTCCCTCGGGGCCTGCACTGCCTCAGGCCAGGCTGCTAACCCGGCAGATGTGGATGGAGCGGGGGGAAGAGGACCGAGGGCCCATCTCTGTCACTGGCCAGAAGGTGGACTCCAGTCCCTCCGTTCCCCAGACACACTGGCGCCCGGACCCTGACCGGCTTCCGAGAGGGTCTGGGTAGCGAGCAGACAAGCCCGGCGCACTTGGGCGGTGGAGGTGTTCAAGGCTCCCCCCACCCCAGCCAGGGACAGAGCAGGATTGATGGGTAATGTCTGCCTCGGGCACGGAGCCAGGGACAGAGCAGGATTGATGGGTAATGTCTGCCTCGGGCACAGTAGGGAAGGCAGCGTGCACGTGCCCGGCGGCCCTGGCCCTCTGGTTCTGGTCTCTGGGTGCGGAATCGTGGGAAGGACTTCCTGCCTCCGTGTCCCCGTGTGGAGTCCTCGCCTGTGCAGACAGGCTATCTCCTGCCTCAGTCTCCCCGGGAGCTCCTTGATGACCATGTTTCAGTAAGAACCTGACGGAACCTGCCTGCCTGCGTGGCCTCTGTCCTTGCTGCGTCCTTGTCTCTCTCTCCTGGGCCCCGGGGGCAGGGCCTGGCTCTTCTCTGGCACCTGCCGCGTGGCCCTGCCTCCTGCCCGGGATGGTGTCCGGCTGCCCCACCCCCATGCCCAGGTCCAGCCCCTGCACTCGCTCCCCGCCGGAGGTCACTGCCCGCTGGGCACCTGGGTGCCAGTCACCAGGGACCCCTCCCTGGCTCTCTGGAAGCGGGGGGGGGGGGGGCATGCTCGGGGACAGAGGACGGGGCCACAGAGGAGACCGGGGAGCGCTGGTGATTGGGGTGCAGCCTGGCCACTCCCGGGGGCTCACACACGGCTTCGGCTGAGCTGGGACGGGCCATTTGGGTCCTGACGGCCTTCGGACAGCTGCCTGGCCCGCTGCCAGCCCCCCGGCAGGGGCGCAGGGGCCTCTGGCTTCCCAGGGCCCCTGCTAAGATCCACCAGAGCCTGACCTGACCCCCTCCCCCCCCCCGGGCCTGGCTCCGGCATAGGACCGGGGAGGCCGCGTCCCGACAGCAGGCCTGCTCGCCGGCCGCTGCGGACCCTGGGCAGGCCGCGCCGTGTTCCCCCACAGCCCGCCCGCCGTTCCCGGGGCGGCTCAGGACCAGGAGGGCAGACCGGGTTCTGGTCTGACTCCCTCCTCGGGCTGAGCTCGGAAACCCAGGTCTGCCCATTTGGGCGTTTGCTGTTCTCCGAGGAGAAACAGCCCGGACACGCCCAGCTCCCGGCCTTATCCTGCTGCAGGAAGCCGCAGCCCAGAGAGGGAAAGCACTTGCCCAGGGTCACACAGCAGAGGGAGGAGGGGGCCACTCCCTAACCGTCCGGAAGGTGGGCCAGAGGGAGGGGGGGTGTCAGGTAGTGAAGGGGCCCCAGGCGTCTGCTTGGTCTTCAGAGGGACGGGGCACGGGGCCCGCTTCCTGACGAAGGAAGCGGAGGCCAAGGGCCCAGACTCTGCAGTCGGGCCCGGGGCAGCTCCCAGGCTCCCGGCTTCCGCTGGGAACCTCGGTCTCTGAGTCTGCGCTTCCCCGTCTGCGGGGCGGCAGCAGCACGTGTGGGTTGTTCAGAGATCACAGGACCGGGGCAGCGACAGGTTTGTAGGCGATGCGGGCGGGACAGTCAGGTGGGCGAAGTGGGAGCCGGGCAGTGGTCACTGTGGGAGGCCCAGCAGGCTCCCTTTGTGGGGAGGGAACACCTCGCAGGGGAGCTCCAGAGCCGGCGGGGGTGGGTGGTGCCGCTGGTGGCGGAAGGATCGAGGACGGGGTGTGATTTCCCTGGGTGAGCCGTTCCTCCCGTCCCCTCTTTGGCGAGGCTGGAGTGGCAGTGCCTCCCAGGGGCTCGGGGACAGGATGGTGGTGGCCAGCGAGGGCTCGGGTGAGGGGGAGCTCGGGCAGGTGGGCGTGATGGGTGAGGGGTCGCCTTGGGCCAGGAGAGCAGGGCCCTGGCCGGCCTGCCCCACGGGGAGGCCCCTCCCAGCCTGTCCTCCGTCTGTAAGATGAGCGAGGGCGGTCCTGGCATTCCCCGCGATCGCCTGTGCTGGGCGCGGGAAGTGATTGATAGGGCGCAGTGCGGGCCCTTCGCCCTGGGTGATGAGTGGCCCGCAGGCCGCTGAGCTGGCGTCTGCTCGAGGCCCATCCATCACCCTCCCTCCTGGGGCCGGGCGGGTTTTGCTGACCTGGCTGAACAGTCTGATCGGTTACCTCCCGCAGAAGCTGAAACTCGGGGCGGGCGGAGGAGGCGGGGAGGGCGGTGGGGGAGGGGAGGGCGGTGGGGGCGGGGAGGGCGGTGGAGGCAGCAGGGAGGCGGCGTGTCCCTGCTCCCCACGGGGCACAGGGCACAGGGGAAGGAGCTCGGCCAGGCCTCGGTGGGAGCAAGCCACCCTGTGTGAGCTTTATTGTCGCATCGATAGGCACAGTATTGGCCCCATTTCACAGATGAGGAAACTGAGGGCCGGGAGGTGAGATGGTCCGCCCACGTCACACCCGCACGAAGAGGCCTGGGGCTCTTGGGCAGGTCTGATTCTTACGGGGCTGCCAGTCCCATTTCCCAGGGGCCGCCCCAGACCCTCGCCGGGATGCTGGCCGTCCGGCCCTCGTGGTGGCGCTGCAGGGAGGGCTTCCCTCAGGGGCGGACTGTCTTTCACCCCGGAACGAGCCGGTTCCCAGGCGAGTCTCTCGGAGGCGAAACGGCTCTTCCTGCCTCCGGGCGCAGAGGCGAGGAGCACGGTGGGCCGGGGGCGGTGAGCGCAGTCCGGCGTGGCTCCTGCCCGGAGGCCGGCGGCTCCTGGAGACACGGGCAGGGCTTCCCGGGCTCTGGGCTGCAGACCACCAGCCGGGCTGCCCTCGGGGCCGGGAGGGCCTTGTCCGGACGCCCCGGCGGGCCCACCGGGCGCTCGGGAGCCTCTGGGCAGGCAGGGGCGGGCGCAGTGGTCTCGGGCGGGGCACACGGGGCTGTTTTGGGGAGGTCTTCACAGGGGGGTACACAGGCGGGCGTGCGCCCCCGGGGAGCGGAGGGGAGCGAGGAGGTGGCTGGCCTCAGCCTCGGCCCCCGCCGATGCGGACCACGGAGGGGCCGGCGGGGCCCAGACACGGGCCGGCCTGGCACCGGGGGGCGGGCGCTTGCAGCTGGGACACAATCCGGGGCAGCGGCTGCAGGTCCCACTCCCCCTGCAGGAAGGGCCGCGGTGAGAGGCGGAAGGCTGACCCGGTGCCTCCCCGCCATTTCCCACATCCCCTTGGTTTCTGTCCTTACTCCAAACTCACCCTCCCACCCCGAGCTGCTTGGAGGCCTCAGGAGGGGATCCTGGCACCCCCTCCGCCCCACTCACCCCCACCTCAGCCCTGGGTGCAGGCGCCGCTGTTCCTCCCCCTCCGGCTGCCCCGCACCCAGTCCGTCCACGTCCACCCTCCGCCTGGTGACCGCCCGCCTTTCCCTGGCAGCCGGCACCGAGCGGCCAGCAATTCATCCGCTCCCAGCCGCCCAGGAAATGTGCTTCGGGCATCGCAGAGCGGTCCCCCCTGACTCAGCCTGGGCACTCGGGAGAAGGAGGGGACCCCCCCGCCCGGTCTCAGGCTGCTGCTGCCCACCTGCCCTCCCCTCGGTTATTTTTAGGCTCCGGGGGAGGTTGCTGGCGCCTGGCTCACGCCACCGAGCTCGGTGCTGTGATGTGATGGCGCCAGGAGCGGGAGCCCCTGCCCACGTGGGTGCTGTCGGCTCCTCTGGCTGCAGGCTCCTCCCTCCTGGGCGGGCTGGGCCGCCTGTTTGTCTAATGGTCTGCGTGGGGGCTCCTTGCCAGCCCCCCGGGCCCCGGGCTGGTGCGGGCACAGAGGGGTAGGCAGCTGCAGGACTGCCCAGGCGGCCCGGGGGTGGGGTGGGGCGAGGCCGCGGGTGGCCGGGGTGGGGGGGCAGAGCGAGGCCGCGGGTGGCCGGGGTGGGGGGGCAGAGCGAGGCCGCGGGTGGCCGGGGTGGGGGGGCAGAGCGAGGCCGGGGCGGGGGGGGGGGGCCCACCTGGAAGCGCACGGCGGAGGACTTGTTGCAGTGCACGGCGAGCGGTGCGAAGCCGTACAGCGCCCGCAGCATGTCACGGCTGAAGGAGGTCCAGGGCACCTCGGCGAACTGCTGGGGCACCGAGGCCTGCGAGGAGGTGGGCACCTCCTTGCTGTGGAAGCTGGGCGGGCAGGAGGGGGCGCTGTCGGTGCCGGTGGGCACGGAGACACCCCCTCGGGCCGCCGGCCCCCCCCCAGGGCTCCTGCTCGGTGCCTCCCAGGCTGGGGGCCCTTCCTCCTTCTGCGCGGACGGCCGGGCTGGGGGGGCTGCCCAGGCCGCGTCGGGCTCGGCAGGAAGGGGGGGACCCATGGGGGATGCCTGCCGCCTCCCCCGCTCCGAGGCCCGGCCGGCCTGCACGCCCCGCGGCTGCAGGCCCGGCGGCCGCACTCTCGCCGCACCTGCTGAGCAGGCGGAAGTACTTCTGCAGGAAGCCGGCGTCCACGGCGCTCTTGCACAGCTCCAGCTCCGTCCGCGGGTAGTAGTGCACGTAGTTGACACACATCTCCTCCAGGATGCCGAAGCCGCCCTGTGAGAGGAGGAGGGCCGTGCTCGGCCGCGGGACGCCCACCCCGCAGCGGCCTCTGGGTCGTTCTCCGTCCACCCCCTCCCCCGTCCGCTCCCGCGGCCCAAGGGCTGCAGCCACACGGATGGGCTGAGGAGCGGCGTCCCCGGGAAGGTGCGGACGGCGGACGGGAAGGCCCAGGCGGCGGGGCCGGGGGGCAGGGAGAGGCCGGGGGCTTACCACGGTGGCCAGCGTCCTGTCCTCCGTGTTGTACGTACAGGAAGTGATCAGCACGT